CCCCCAACAACAAAAAAAAAAAAAAAAAAAAAAAAAAATCTCCAAATTCTACTCTTACGCTGAAGGCGTAATTTGAACTGTGCCAAAGAGAGCAAAGTGACATGCATTCTGGCCATCACTCACCCACGTGACCGAAGCCACAGCTGGGGCTGGGTCTGCTTTGGGGTGTTTCGCGTGTAGATCTGGCTCTGCTGGAAGTGCTTCTGTGTCCTCTTTCCTCCGTGAGGGCGTAGCCTCAGAATGCTTCTTAGGTTTTCGCTTTTCTTGGCCTCCCTTTATGAATCTCTCCTTTTAGAAGCACGGCTGCATTTCACGTTCAAGGGCGTGCTCTTCTAAATCATCTCACGGGCGACGGTCGCTTTTTGTGTTTTTGACACTGAACCCAATTTAGAGCCACTTGTGCACGTCTGCAGCGTTCATTGGGATGAGAGGCTGCTCTCTGGTTTTCACACTTCAAAGCCAACCACATTCCTTCTCTTGAATCGGCTTTGAGAAACCACATCTTCGTTGCATCACATAACTCTTCTCTGATCCTGCTGAGCTGGGCACGTTTTATTAATAGTTCTCAAGTCACTCTTTGTAGACTTGAGCCAGGGGTTCTTTTATGCAGTTTAGTTGAAACCCGGACCAGTGATCTCAGAAATTTTGAGTGGCCCTAATTCAGTGGCTCAGAAACACGAGGGTCCTGCCTGCAGAGCTTCTGCTTCAGGGTGTCTGGGCTGGGCCCTGAGAGTCTGCACTTCGGACACGTGACACTGCTCCTGCAAAGAGCGCACTTGAGAACCACTGCCCCTAGGTATGCGCTGACCAGTAGCCACTAGGCACATGTGGCTATTTAAATTTCAATTAATTAAAATGAAATAAACATTTCAAAAGCAGAATCTCTGTCACACTTGCGATATTTCATGTGCTCAAGAGCCAGTGTGCGTCGTGGCTACCGTATCGGACAGCACCGATCTACAACCTTTCTGTTGTGCCAGAAAGTGGACTGAACAGAGCTGCCCTAGATTAACTCTGGGCCGATCCACCCGGCCGTTGGCGGGTTCCTCCTATGGGCTGATTCTCTACGCTATTTGCCCACGAAGACTTGTCCGGTAGTGAGCCACGTACGTTTGGTATAAGCTTAGCGCAGGGAGTTCCCTCTGGCAATCGGTCTCTTCCCCTCCACTCCCACCGCCATCATCCTAGCCCTTCGCACCTCCTTCCCACGTAGTTTACCTCCCCCTCCTCTTTCCTCCCCTGCTCCCAAAGAATCCATGTGTCTTCCTGAAATCCTTCTTTCTTTGGTCCTGCCCTTTAAGAACACCATTAGTGCCTACCACTGGGTCTACACAGACCTCCGCTGAGCAGTCAGAGTCTTCCCTGACTCCACAAAGCCCCTTTCCTCGGCTGACCAGTTTGCACGCTGGTCCCTGACTGTCCCTTGCCGATCCCTGCCTCCCTGGCCACCCTTAGGTTGTCCCGTCCTCCCTTCACCACCCACCCACCCACCTATCCATCCATCCATCCATCCATCCACCCATCCATCCATCCACCCACCCATCCACCCATCCATCCATCCATCCACCCATCCGTGATCACTCTCCACCGCCCACTCCCATGCCCCCACTTCCAAGAGGCTGAGGGGTTTGAACTCTCTAGATTGCATCATGGGATGAAATAAACACCGCTGAGGAATCTTGTGGGCACCTTACTTTAAAAGTATTTTTTTCTGATTGTAAAAGTAACGTGTTAATTTTAGAAAAATTGGAAAATACAAATGTAGTAAAAGGTAAGAAAATGCATCAGTATTTTACACCAAGAGAGTCACTTAATATCTTGTCTTTTTTGGGACGTAAATTTTTTACACTGTTACGATCATACCGTGTGCTGTATCGTGCAATTTTATATTCCTATTCTTTCACTGTTACATGTGGTTATTACAGGTTTTTGCAAAGATACTTTATACTGGTGGTAGTATATTTTATTGTGTAATTTCATCATCATTTACTTAACCTTTCAGTTATTGGGAATTTAGTCAATTTCCAAATTTTCAGTATTGTAAATAATGTTGTGATGAGCAACTTTGAATAAAATGATTTTGTGTAATTCACAGTACCCCCATAGGATGGGCTCTCAGTGCCAAATTGCCAAAAGCATCTCGATTTCAGTCCTTGCCGCACTCTCCTGCTTCCTTAAGGTAGTAAAACTGAAAATAAAGCAAACAAGCATACGGAGTATACAAACCTTAAAAACAAACAAAAACCCTATAACCCTCACAACAATAGGTGAAAGTGGCATCCTGTATGAGCTTTGAATTCTTTGCTTATCAATGACCTTGATCACTGTTCTCTCTGTACGATTGTTGGACATTTGTATTTCTAGTTGTGTGAATTTGCCTTTAAATTTTAGGTTTCACTTTTATAAGTAATCAAACAAATTGCTCTTTTCCTACGTGATTTTTTTCCTGTCTTTTCCTATTAAACATGGAGACCCTTGCCAATCTAGAGATTTAATAAATATTCATATTCCTTAGCTTTTCTTGCGGTTGTTTTTTTATACTTAATTTATCCTGTCTCTCCACCCCATTATCAGAATAGTATATACTCATCTTGTAAAATTTGGGAGACGCAGGAAGTGGTGAGGATGAACAGAAGCGCGCATCCAGAGCATGGCCACTGCTGCCATGGGGACATAGCTTTCTGCTCTTTCTCCTGCCCACGTCCATGTGCACAGATACGAACACGTTCACCTTGACATAGCTCACATCTACCACATAGAATCCCTTGTCCAGCTGTTTTGGTCTAAAGTAACGTTAGCCTGCTTTTTCATGTTGTTGACAGTTCTTGGTTTGCAGTTGTCATGACTGCACCACCATTCCTACATTAATCGTTTTTTTTTGACTGAAATTCTCAAATTTTTGTATGCATTTTAAAAAAATTGTGGTAAAATACACATAACATCAAATTTACCATCTCACACGTTATTAAGTGTAC